GAAGTTAAAGGGGATTGGAGAGCATGCAGGTAATAGGAAAAGGAATTTACTACCTTGAATCAGGGAAAGGAGCACATTTGCAAACATGGATGGTTGTAGTATTCAAGAACAGAACCAGTAAAAGGAAAATGCAAATAGAAAATAAAGTATTAGTAGTTTGCGCCTTTATATATTTAGGTGTAATATCTCCCTCATTGTTACTCACGCTTACAAGAAACTCCTTTGTATTTAGAGTTATGGAATGGTTTGGGTTGGAAGGGACCTTAAAGCTCCTCCCGCTCCAACCCCTGCCCCGGGCAGGGACACCTTCCACTAGAGCAGGTTGCTCCAAGCCCCTGTGTCCAGCCTGGCCTTGAACACTGCCAGGGATGGGGCAGCCACAGCTTCTCTGGGCACCCTGTGCCAGCGCCTCAGCACCCTCACAGGGAAGAGCTTCTGCCTTATCTCCAACCTGAACTTCCCCTGTTTCAGTCTGAACCCATCACCCCTTGTCCTATCACTCCAGTCCCTGATGAAGGTCCCTCTCCAGCATCCTTGTAGCCCCCTTCAGACCCTGGAAGCTGCTCTGAGGTCTCCAGCAGCTTCTCTTCTCCAGGCTGAACAGCCCCAATGTTCTCAGCCTTTCGATCCATTTGCAGTTGATTTAACATGACTCAGCTCATCAGCAGGGGGATTTCTTGGTTATTACTTTAATACCAGGGAAGATTAGAACTAGTTTGAATTCCCTGACCTCTGGGGTTGGCTCATGATCCATTTCTCAGAAACCCTTGCACTTTCTCCTCTCAGAGATTCTTCACTCTGTGAGGCCTGAGCTGGTTACACTATGGCCCTCGTGTACTCCTCTTCTGAGATCCTCTTCAGCCTTCATCTGGAGCCTGGTGGATATATATATATGAAGCTGAAAAGTGCTCTGACCATGGCTATGTCTGTATCTTCTGGGGCAAAGCTGATGTGTAGAGTTTTTCAGGTCTCTTTTTGCTCAAGCAGGAGAAAATGCACCACTAACACACAGGCTTTTCTCTCCTCCCCAGTTGCTTGTACTTTCAGCTGCACAATGAAGTTCACTGTTCGAGACTGTGACCCAAACACAGGTGTGCCAGAAGAGGATGGCTATGATGATGAATATGTGGTAAGTTAAGAACTTGTTCTAGTTTCATAACTAAATGTGGCCATTGGGCTGACAGTTTCCTTTCAGATCTAAATCCAATAGGAGAGAGCAGCAAACCTGCCTGAAACACCAAAATACTGTAGCTCATAACTTTATGTCCATCCCCAAAACCTTCCTCCTTTAGTACCCTACGGAGATAGGATTTGTTGGGGCAAAAAGGAAGGAAGGAATAACTTCCATTGTCTGTTTTCAGACCTCCAGCCCAAGCATTTGCACTTCTGTTTATTGTGTTCACATTGTCAATCATGGAAATACAAGTCAGATCTCGGGGATCTAACTTGGTTTTGGGGCTTGGAGGAAGTAAAGGCTCCTTCTGGATTCTGAGAGTCTCTCCTGAGCTGCCCAGTGAAGGCTATAATGGGCTTTGACTTACAAAGTGATTGCCCCATGTTCTGCTCTCTTTTAGTCTCACACAGGTTTGAGTAAATGTGTTCAAGCTTTACAGATGACCACCATAAATACTGTTCTTTCCTCTCTGCTTTTATATGCTGTTACTATGTGCTTCTGCAGTTAAAGCCAGGCATGCCAGAGTTCTCGTGGCAAAATGCTGCTGCCTCTCTTTGTCTTTCCCTTTCTAAGATGAGGATCATTTCTACAACTCCTTATGTTCCATAACTTTAAAATCTCCTTTGCCTTTCTGTCAGTTGGAAGATCTGGAGGTGACCATGTCTGATCATATTCAGAAGGTTTTAAAGCCAAACTTTGCAGCCGCATGGGAAGAAGTGGGAGAAGACTTTGAGAAAGAAGAAACCTTTGCGCTTAGTTCCATTAAAACCCTTGATGGTGAGATGATCTCTCCTTGTTTATTGGTGACCCACACTGTAATCCTGGTACATCTGCCATGCTGGGGATATTTGGTGCCTTCCAATGTGAAGTCATGTCCCAGCAGCAAGGTTTTGTGTTGCGATGTTGGGATTCTAGTGAGTGGAAGTTTGGCAGTGCTGTCTTGAGGCTGGGTGGAGGAAGGGGTGGCTTCCTGGGCTGTGGGGCCATGGCAAGGTAGGAGTGTTGATGGGGCTGCAGTCACGATGCTGGATGGAAATGGTGAAACCACGTGGGTGCTTAGAGGAAAAGGAAGCTTGGCACTAACCTGGGGGGAACTTTCTTCTTCAATCTCTGCATGCAGAAGCTGTCAATAACATCATCAAGTTCTTGGGCATGCAGCCCTGTGAGAGGTCAGATAAAGTGCCAGAGAACAAGAACTCTCACACGCTCTACTTAGCTGGTAAGTACTCACAGTACAGAACTCCATGGTTCTGTGTCCCACAGGGTTTCAGTAAAGGAAGGGAAATGGGTTGGGAGATTCTGCTCTTACTTTGAGAGGTTTTTCCTGTGTTGATCAGAATGGAGGTATTCTACCTTCTTACAGAATCAGAGTCATTTAGGTAGGAAAAGACCCTTAAGGTCATCGAGTCCAACTGTTAACCCAGCCCTGCCAAGGCCACCACTAACCCCTGGCACTAAGTGCCACAACTACACATCTTCTTAACCCCTCCAGGGACGGTGACTCCAGCCCTGCCCTGGGCAGCCTGTTCCAGTGCCTGAGCACCCTCTGGGCAAGGAATTGTTCCTCAGCTCCAGCTAAACCTGCCCTGGGGCAGCTTGAGGCCGGTTTCTTCTTGTGCCATCCCTTGTTTCTTGGGAGCAGAGACCAGCCCCCTCCTGGCTCCAGGACTATTTCTCCCTTAAGGGCAGGAGCACTGAGTCAATGTACTGTGCTTTACTGTGTGCGTGGCCTTTTCAAACCAGAAGTGAGCTTCAGCTACCCACTTTCTGGTTTCTATCCATTCAAACCATCCCAGCCCTCCACCAATACCTGTTGCTGACTCTTTAATTACAGCATTATCTGTTACCTTCAGTTTTGGCTTCAAGAGCTTAGAGAAGTTGGGGGTTTTGGTATTTGTTTGTCATTTCCCCCCTCTCTGGAACTGGCCATAGATTGAATCTGTCTGTTGATGGCTCCTGGGTTAGGACTAGATCACTGAGCCTCTCTTAAAGTGATGTCTTACAAGAAAATCTCCTCAAGTAACCTCCTAAAGCCTCTCTCAAATGTTGCTTTGTGCCCCCAGGTGTCTACAGAGGTGGCTGTGATGTGCTGGTGAGGTCCAGGCTCGCACTTGGAGACGGTGTGACCATGCAGGTGACTGTTAGGAGCAAGGAAGAAACGCCTGTAGATGTCATCCTGGCTTCTGTAGGCTGAGTGTTACAGCACAGCTGTGGTGGAAACCCCCTTTGCAAGCACTGGTTGGGTATTTCCCAGCTATCAAGCAGCCTGTCTGACCTCCTGCATGTAGTTTTTACTCCTCAATTTGGTATATTTTGTATGTTACAGTAGTGGCAATAGGTGGCTGGAACTGAGCCTTTCCCATGTCCCTTCCCTTGTTGTCACTTAAACATTCCCATCTAACTTACTGCATCTCTGGCCACTTGTGGTAGAGCAGGGAAGAGAAAACAGGCAGGTGGGAAGAAAAATGGAATCAGACTTTTGTCAAAATTGATTTTTATTAACAGAAAATAAACCCTGGTCCAAATGGTGGAATTCATCTGAATTGCTGTTAATAAAATAGACATTTCTTGTTCTAGTTCTGGCTGTTTCAGTACAGAAAAAGTAGCCCATGATGGCTGTTTACTCAGAAAAAGACCCTTATTCCTAAAGGGACACTATGAAACTTCAAACATAAGCAGTTAAAAACCACACAACCTGCAAGTTTATGGTACCCTGATGCTCATCTCCTCTGTTCCACATGGAAAAATCAATGTAGAGAGAGAGATTAACCTTCACCTCCCAAAGCATATTCAGTGCTGAGCCTTTTGTTAATAATCCCAAACACTGCTGTGTGAAACATCCCATATCAAAAGTTGGGAAGAGACAGGGAAGGAGGGAGCTCGTGGTCACTTCCTTATGAGGGAAGTTCTGCATCTCTCTGCTGGTCTGGTGTTTCTTTAGTTACCAAGTCAGGGTGAGGAAGGAAAGAAGGAATACTATTTTAATAGCTATTTAAATACCTGCCCCCATCCCTGTGGCTCCACTACCTATTGCTCACAAGAACACTTTGGCTTTTGGTAGCCCAGATACTGAAAGAGGTGTGAGCCTGCCCTGGTGGAGCTATAACCAGGCTTCAGCAAAGCTCCTGAGGTAGTCCCAGGGGTGCAGCATCACTGAGCAGCTCTGCTTGTTCAACTGAAGAGCAGAGAAACAGAGGAAATAAATAGTAAACACTTGAGGTTTAGAGCTTGCCTTTGGGTCACTGGCCATTAAAAAGAGATTACTGAAGATAATTACTGTCTCTAAATGCTCCTTTATGGATGCAGAGCATCACTGCCTGGACTGGGGGATTACGGATCCAGCTCTGCTGCTGTATTTAGTGCAGGCAAACTCTGCTTCAGATTCTTCAGGCCTGACAAGCTGGTCAAGTATTACAACACTTAGTACACGGATGGAATTTCAACTGCATCCATGCACCTAAAAACCAGACCAGTGTCCATGGGGGGAATGAGAGCATCAAGCCTTGGCTGCAAGTGGTCCTGTCTACCTCTGTCGTGCAGCAGGGCCACACAGTGAAGGCAAGTAAGGACTCTTGGACTGACATATGTGCTCCTGCTATCCTTTGAGCTCATCTTTTATCCCAGGCTCATCTTTTCTGGAGCTCCAAGGATTTAACTGCATAAAATCAGCAGTTTGGCAGCCAAAGATCAGGGAGTTAGTGCAAAGTGTTGGATCTGGAGATAAAATGAAGGGTTTTTCCTGCTCCCAAAGCCTGTCATGTAAACACAGAGCAAGAACTGAGCTGCAGCAGCTCAAAAGGAGTTGATGAAGTTGAGATAAGCATTCAGGAAGCCTGTTGGATCCTCCAGCTGTGGATAGTGGCTGATGTGGTCGTCCAGCACAGACACTGTGGACATGGGAAGCACCTTCCTGTTGGGAGAATGCAGCAAGGTACCACCACTGAAGTAGGACATTACCCACTCACAGCTGTACTCTGCCTGACACATGGTTTTGGGACAGAAAAGCCTGTAGCAGGTACAGTCAGCCTTCCTTCCAAGTGTTGGATTTACTCCAGGGTAGTCTGGAGGAGAAGACTACCTCAAGTCAGTACATCTTACCTCTGTCTGCTGTGGGTTTAAAATGCATCATTACTTTGACTGAGAATTGTGACTTTGATGCCTAAAAACCCACCTCTGTGAAAAGGGAATCAGAAGGAGAAGTCCCAAGACCAAATCCTCCCTCAGCATGAACCTGCAGTTGTACATTCCCACTTCATGGTGGGCATTGTCTTACTTGTAAAGCTGAAGGAACTCTGGGTGTGGATTCACAGGGTCCAGGGGCCCATAGATGAGATGCACTGCAAGAGAGAAGCACAGACAGAGCTTTCGTACCCAAGGACACCCCTAAACTAAGCCAAGGAGACTTGCACACATCCCAAGCACTAAACCAAACCAGATTCCTACTCACATGGGACAGAGGTGGACATCAAAGCCCCAACCCAACGTTCTCTGTGCTTCTTTCTCTGGTTTATGTACTGCAAAATACTGAAGAGAAACCTGTTGTTACTCAGCAGAAGGTGCCCTGAGGAGCTGCAGTGTTGCTCCCAGGGCAATGTGTGATTGTGCAATGAGACCGAGGTGGAATCTGCATCTCTACAGGTCACCTCCTTGGGGCAGCAGCAGCCCAGAACCACTCTGCTGGTCATCCCCAGCTTAGTGACTTGCTTAAGGTGGTTTCTATGAGTGCAGAGTCAGAGTCCTGCTGGAGAATAACCCACGTTCATTTAGGAAGGGAGGAACAGCTTGAGGAGTTCAAGGCCAGGTTGGACACAGGGGCTTGGAGCAACCTGCTCTAGTGGAAGGTGTCCCTGCCCGGGGCAGGGGTTGAAGCTGGAGGAGCTTTAAGGTCCCTTCCAACCCAAACCAGGCTGGGGTTCTGTGAAATTGAAGCCCCTCATTTCCAAAGTACAACATGGGATTTTTTTGCGTCTCCAGTGTTGTTGTTCTCCCACCATGCTCAGATCCTCCTGACTCCAAACTTATTTACCTGCCTTGCATCACCCCAGCAGGAGCCCCTGCTGCTACATCACACCCCAGTGCTCTTTTGGGGTGCAGGGATGACCCCAGACCCCAACAGAGGCAGCTGGAAGCTCTGGGGAGCCAGTATCCAGGGATTTGGCTGAGCTCTGGTTAACTTCCAAGCCATTCCATGGCTCTGCCTGCAAGCAGCAGGATGCCATGGGCATAATCCAAAGGTCATGCAGCGAGCAATGGAGATGTACCTGTCAGCAACGAGATTCCCGTCGTTGGTCCGCACCGCTGTCCACATATCCCAGTACTCTGCCTGGGAAGGCTGCGTGTAGGGCCCAAAGACTGCCCCAAGCCTGGACAAGGAGGAGTTCAGAGCAGCACAGCAGCAGCAGTGTTAGTATGTGGCTCACAAAGTAGCCCTAAAAACCTGAGTACATCCAGCTTCCAGTGGGAAGAACAGGGGGGTAAGCACAGCAATGCAAGTGGACCCCCAAAGGCACCCAGTGTTGGACTTTGCAGCCAGTTAAAGGGCTTTTTTGGGGAAGAAAAGGGGGTTTGCAACACCTGATAAAAATATACAGGTGACTGGGCACTGTACGGGGTGTGATTTGGGGGTTCACTGCCTCTGGAACAGGCACAGGTCCAACACTCGTGGGAGAGCAGGATTTCAGTGCACAGTGAAATGTGTGTCATTAATAGGTGCCAACCCAGGGAGGGAACGGCCCAGAGGATCAAGGTCACCCAAATCCAGGGGCAAGTCCCTCCCAGGCCAGCACTTGGGAATCTGCTCATGTGCCAGACACCCACTACTCCAATTCCTGTGTTGCCCCCTCCCCACGTGGCTCATATCCCCTGTATGGGCTGTGACCAACTCACCCTCTGGAGAAGATGAAGAAGTTCATCAGGCGCGTGATGATGGGGGACAGCAACCCCCCATCCTTGAGGACCTTGGGCAGAAGGGCAAAAGGAGAAGCACTGTTCAGTATCACAGGCATGGGTAAATCCTGCTTCCTTAGAGGGCTTTTCCCCCAGCTCCGTGTAGGCTGAGAGAGCTGGGCTGGGGCAGCTGGAGAAGAGAAGGCTCCTCAAGGGGACACCTTAGAGCAGCTCCAGTGCCTAAAGGGGCTCCAGGAAACCTGGAGAGGGGCTTTGGACAAGGGATGGAGGGACAGGACAAGGGCAATGGCTTGAACCTGCCCGAGGGGAGATTGAGATGAGCTCTTGGGCAGAAGCTCTTCCCTGTGAGGGTAAAGCAGCAGCATCTGAGCCAGGTAATGCCCCAAACTCACAGCGCCCAACTTGTGGTGAGGGGCAGCAGCTCACCTTCTGCATGAACCGGGGGTAGTGAGTTTCGGGGAAGATCCCTGCAAGATGTCAAAGAACAGAGTTGTGATGCTCCAAGTGTCTTGCTCTGCATCTCCCAGTCCCTCCTCTTCATGGTACCATGAAAGATGGCAAAGGCAACCCATGGACTGATGGTCCCAGTTAATTACAGCACCTTAACTGCAATCCAGTTGGAGTTGACCAACCTGCTCTAGGGGAAGGTGTCCTGCTCATTGCAGGGGGGTTGGACTAGATGAGCTCTGGAGGTCCCTTCCAACCCAAACCATTCTGTGATGCTTTCCCTCAGGTGATGGAGATGGGAAATCCATCTTGTCTCATGGATCCCAGCCCCCCCCAGCCCACCCCTCGCACCACGCTGGGCAAACCTTACCTCCGTTGGACAAGCAGAGGCTGTTGATCAAGATGCTCCCAGTTTTATTGTGCTCATACCTGGGGACGGAAGAGAAGGTGGTGAAACACAACCAGACCTCTTCAGGCTCCAAGGAGTGAGTGACAGCTTCAAGCAGGTTGAATCTTGGGGCTACAAGATTAGGGGCTACAAGCCCCTAAAGGGGCTCCAGGAAACCTGGAGAGGGTCTTTGGACAAGGGCCTGTAGGGACAGGACAAGGGGAATGGCTTGAACCTGCCAGAGGGGAGAGTTTCAGATCATCTCTGCTGCCCCTGGCTTGGTTAGAAGGAGCTTAGGAGGGAAGTTACACATCCTAGAAGCTGGGATTTGATGGATGGGAGCTTCATATCTTCCCACCACGGATGTGCTCCAGGACCTCTCAGCCTTCGTTACAGAAGAGAAAAGGGGGTTCTGCACCACATCCTTCCACTTATCTGCTGGAAATCATCTTGATGGGGATCCCAAAGAGCATCAGTGGAAGCAGTGACCTGTGCAGCAGCTCCTGTGCAACCGTATCCCCATAGTCATGGGACAGGAGATTGATCCTGTGGTGGCGGAGGCCGAGGTGCCGCACCAGCCCCTCGACGATGCTGGCCTGCTCGAAGATGGAGTAGTGGTGGGGCCTCTGTGGAGCAAAGGGGGAGAGGAGCCACAGTGAGAGCCTGACCCACCATGAGCCCCAAACCTAGAACAAACACCCAAATGGAGGAATATGGGGTGGAAACCAGCAGTTTGTGACCCCAGACAGAGCAGTTGGGTGTCCTGAGCCAGCAGCAATGTCCACAAGATGATAGAACGCTGCCCATGCCCCAGAGGGGGGCAAGGTGTGTTTGGAGTCGCATCAAACCCAAGGCAAGATGGTGACAGAGCTGATCTCTGCCACAATCTTCCTTATCTTATCCACTATTATAATGTCTTATTCCCTTTCCAGATGTAAATCGGAGAAGAAACAGGGGTGCAAACACCAGTTCTCCAGTGGTGCTGGCACAGCAGAACCACCTCATGGTCAAAAGTAAGTGCAAAAATCCTCCTCCCAAGCTACTTACAGGCTTGTCACTGAACCCAAATCCTACGAAATCCAGAGCAATGACCCGGTGGAACCTCTGTGTCAGCCCTTCCCAGATCTGCAGAGAGGAGAAATGCATTAAAAACAGCAGAAAGAGGGGAAGACTGCGGTGATGCACAGCCATGGATGGCCAGCTCCCCTCTGCTGTCCCAGACAGCCTTCCAGCTCCAGGAAAACTGCAGGAGCTTGAAATATCCCAATAAACAGCAAGACCATCCCCAAAAATAAATAGTTGTGGGTCTTTTCCTCCCACTTTGGGCTGAACAATGGGAAAGGGCGACATGAAGAGAGCTTGGCTCCTGGGTAAGGTGTTGGAGAGGAACAAGGCTGATATCCTGGGGTGTGGTGGTACCTGCTCTGGAGCATCACCCACCCCAGGCTGATTCCTCATCCCCATGGAGGGGGAAGCCACAGGGTTTGCTGTCAGCATCCCCCCTGCCCTCACTGCCCTCACCTTGTACCAGTCGTAGCTGGAGGTCGGGAAGCCGTGCAGGAGCACGACGACGTCGGAGCTGCCAACGGCACCGCTGGAATCTGGAAGGGAACGGGGCACCTCAGCACCAGCCTTCCCCCCATTTCCTCCCCTGTAAGACAGACATTGCTGTTTGCCCCACTGGGACCCCAACCAGCATCATGGTGTCGTCTCTCCCACTGATCCCTCAGCACCAAGGCTGGGTTTGACTTGCACTGCAGCTTCCAGTACTTGCAGCACCGGGTGCAGTTCTGGGGTCCTCAGCATCAGAAGGACATGGAGCTGTTGGAGCAAGTCCAGAGGAGGCGCTGGCACAGGGTGCCCAGAGAAGCT